CTCGTTGCATAGTACTCCATTGTGTGTATGTACCATAGTTTGTTTATCCATTCATCTGTTGATGGGCATCTAGGTTGTTTCCATCATTTTGCTATTGTGAACAATGCTGCCATGAACATAGGTGTGCATGGTATTTGGAGTTTTTACAAAACATTCTTAGCACAGTCACATTGAAGCTGGGAATGTGTTGACAAGGTTTAGTAGAAATCTACTAATTAGAATTTCAAGCCTTTTTAAAAATTGCAGTTGTGTATATAATTGGCATTCCTACCCCATTCCTGAACCTTCTCAGTCCTTATCCTGTCTCCAGCTCAGAACCTCTGTGCTGCCTGAGGAAGGATGGGTTTAGAGGGGCAGGAAAGAGGGATGTTGATGCCTATTGAGCTCATTTCTTGGAAATGAAATACAGTGGTTTACACATCTTAACAATCTTATGAAAAAAGGCATCTTTCTTCCTTTGAGAAGGTTTAAAAATGAATAAAGAAAAAAAAGAAGAACTAGGAAATACGTTAAAAAACATCATTGTTTTTAGAGGCCTTTCTGAATCCCCAGACATCTTTGCTGTCTTAGTAAAAGTGGTTCAAAATCCCTTTACTTTGTCTCCTTTTTGGTATACATTTGCTTTATATTTTACTTTAGGTATGCATTGGTATCTTTGTCCTTACTTCCCTGTATCCTTTCATGTGGTGAACTTGGGGTAGGAGTTGGGGCGTGCAGGCTGGAAGAGTAATGCAGGGAGAAGTTGGAGGAAGAAGGGTGTTCGGTGTGGCATCAGCATTAATCATTCTCAGCATACAGGTATCTGTAGCCATTTAAGTCATCGTTTAGTAATAATAGTCCTGCAAACTTAGCAGTGTTTTTGAAAATCACTAACTTTCAATTAACTTAGATATGCTAGTAGAAGATAGGAGAAGCCCTGATGATGCGGTGGTTAAGCACGTGGCTGCTATCTAAAAAGTTGGCGTTTCGAACCCACCAGCTGCTCCGAGGGAAAAAAAATGTAGCAGTCAGCTTCCGTAAAAAAATTAAAAAAAAAAAACAAACAAAAAACAAACCCATTGTCATCAAGTCAGTTCTGACTCATAGCAACCCTGTAAGACAGAATAGAGCTGCCCCATAGGGTTTCCAAGGGGCGGCTGGTGGATTCGAGTTGCCGACCTTTGGTTAGCAGCCAGACACTTAACCAGTGTGCCACCAGGTCCCGTCCCCGTCCCCGTCC